GTCTTAATAGTCAAAAAGAAAGCACAGAGGCACTTACTTGTATACTATCTTAGCACGTCCAAGCGGGTGTATTTCTACTCTGGTGGGTGGGATGTTGTTTTTGGGCTAAATTCTTTCTTTACAATCGCTTGATAGCATCGTTTTCTTTCATTCCTGACTTTGCCCACATGCTAATTTACATAGGCAGCTATTGCTGAGTTTGCTGGCTGTTTTGACTGCTGATTTCAGCAGCACTGTTGCTTCCTTTGTGTGCTTCTTTGACTGAGATGAAATCAATTAAGTGAGTAAAAATGTTGTCAGTGTTTCTAGCAAGTACTTAGTCTGCAAAGTACAGAGAACTCATTTACTTTTATCTCTCTTTGCCTCTATCTTCTATTACATTCTAAGACCCAGAAATGGATGTTCATAGAATGCTGTGAACACAGGGAAAAAGTCACATAGTCACACACAGTAGTAAGTGGGCAGCTTATCCCATGTTCATTCCATGTTGTTGTTGTGTATCCTTAAGTTGGAACTGACCCATAACTGACCCTCCGAGTTTTCAGAAGCAGTCAGTCACACAGGAGGAGATTGCCCATCTCTCTCCCACAGAGCAGCTGATGGATTCAAACCATGTGCCTTTGAGTTGGCAGTGCAACTCAGTACAGCTAAGCTACCGAAGATCCCTATAGCAACATTTTAAAATAGTGGCGTTTTTGAAGTAGTGAGGATATGCTTCTTTGATCTATTTTCTATTAGTAATTTTTTGTTTTTTTTTAATTGAGATTTTAATGAACGTTTATAAAGAACTCGGATTTCCATTCATTCATTGTTGCACATTTTCCTCCCTGTTCTCCTGTCCCCCAGTTCACTTTTTTCTTTGGAAAAAAGTTCTTTCCTTGTTTTACAATCCCCCAAGGCCACTTTACTATGCAGCTCTTATTCTGGACTCTTGTCATGCCAGTAATCACTAAACATATATTCCTTTTATACAGTTCTCTCCCTTGTCTTGTTCAATGCCGTGTACATTATTTATCCCCTCTTTTTTTAGTTTCCTCCCCACCCGCATGTCAATCCTGTTTTGTAACAGTGGCATTATGCAGTATTTGTTCTTTTGTGACTGAGATATTTTGTTCAGCATATTAGTAATTGAGGTAGTTGATAAAGAACCTAATATTGATAAGCAGAAAGCATATGTAGTAACAACAGAACATTAATATTTTAAACTTTGGGCAGGGAGAAAAGTGCAACAGTGAATGAACGGAAATCCAAAGTCTCTGTAAACTTTCATTAAAATTAATTTTTAAAAAAGTACATATAAGTTAAAAAACCCTAGATCAGAAAGGAAAGCAGGACTTCTTTGTCATCCAATGTTGTATATAAAAAAGTAAAAGAAAAAGGGATTAAAGGAAATTGTCAAGTTTTAAAATTCCTTTTCCATAAATATGCTCCGGGATGTGGCAGATGGTTAAATAATTGAAAATGTGGCAGCTGGAATTCACCTCGGAAGAAAGGCTTGGTGATCTGCTTCTGAAAGGTCACCAAAAAAAAAAAATTGTGAAAAACAGAATTCCACGGAGTAGAATTCTAGTGCAAGGCCACATGGGGTCAGTATTATGTGAGTCACTAATACCACCAGCCAAGAGGAGCATGAGGCTTTAGGACTGACTCTAAGAAGGAGCTACTACAAATTTTAGACCTTTTCGATAGGAAACTGGTCTTGTGATGTCAAATGGCTCTTTTCAAGTTGTGCAGCTAGTTGGTCGTTAGACTTAGAGTAGAAATGGGAAGAAATCCCATTTTCCGAGAGAGTCTCTTAGCCCCATCAGTGGATTCATGCAAACTTGTTAGGTGGGCTGCCAGAGGACATGTTGTTGTTATGTGCCATCAAGTTGCATGCGACTCATAGTGACCCTATGTAAAGAGCCCTAAATGCCGTTCTATCCTGTGCCAACCTTGCCGTCTCAAACACACTCATTCCCACCGCTCCACTCACAGAATCCATCCATCTCATCGAGGGTCTTCTTCTCCTGCGCCGTCCCTCCACTCTCCCAAACATGATGTCCCTCTCGTTTGCGACTCATAGCGACCCTATGTACAGCAGCCCTAAACTGTGCTCTATCCTGTGCCAATCTCATTGCCTCTGACACACCCATCCCGATTACCCCAGTCACTGAATCAATCCACCTCATAGAGGGTCTTCCTGTCCTGCGCTGTCCCTCTACTCTACCCAGCATGATGTCCCTCTCTAAAGACCTGTCTCTCCTTACAACATGTCCAAAGTATGTCAGACGAAGCCCTAGAATCCTTGCCTCCAAGGAGCAGCCTGGTTTAACCCTCTCCAGGATGAATCTGTTTGTTTTCTTGGCAGTCCATGGTACATTCAATACTCTTCTCCAGCACCACCGTTCAAAGGCGTCAATTCTCCTTCTATCCTCCCTAGTCATTTTCTAACTCTCTGATGCATAACAAGTGATTGCAAAAATCATGGCCTGTATTCAGGCACACCTTAGTCTCCAGAGAGACACCGTTGCTCTTGAGTACTTTCAAGAGGTCCCTAACCGCAGACTTTCCCATCGCAATACGTTTTTTTATTTCCTGGCTACTGGTGCGAAGAGTTTTTGCTTTTTTTATCTCATGTTGTTGTTGTTGTTGTTGTTATGTGCCATCGAGTCACTTGCGACTCATAGCGACCCTATGTACAACAGCCCTAAACTCCGCTCTGTCCTGTGCCAATCGCACTGTCTCCGACACTCCCATTCCAATTATCCCAGTCACCGAATCAAACCACCTCATAGAGGGCCTTCCTCTCCTGCGCCGTCCCTCCACCCTCCCAAGCATGATGTCCCTCTCCAAGGACTGGTCTCTCCTCACAACATGTCCAAAGTATGTTAGATGGAGCCTCAGAATCCTTGCCTCCAAGGAGCCACCCGGTTTAACCCTCTCCAGGACAAATCTGTTTGTTTTCCTAGCAGTCCATGGTATTCTCAATACTCTTCTCCAGCACCACAGCTCAAAGGCATCAATTCTCCTTCTATCCTCCTTGGTCATTGTCCAACTCTCTGATGCATAACAAGTGATTGCGAAGACCATAGCCTGTATCAGACGCACTTTAGTCTCCGAAGAGACACCATTGCTCTTCAGTACTTTGGAGAGGTCCCTAACAGCGGACTTTCCCATGGCAATGTGCCTTTTAATTTCCTGGCTTCTGGTGCCAAGACTGTTGACTACAGAGCCAAGCAAACTAAAGCTGTGTACAATCTCAATCTCTTCACCATCCATCCTGATGCTGCCAATTGGTCCAGTGGTGAGAATCTTTGTCTTCTTGACATTGAGCCTCAATCCATATTGTGGGCTGCAGTCCTTGACACTCTGCAGCAGGCGCTTCAGGTCCTCTTCAGTTTCCGCAAGCAGGGTTGTGTCATCCTCATAGAGCCCAGCCTCCCGGATAATCTGTTCTGCATATAGGTTGAAAAGGTATGGAGATAGGATGCATCCCTGGCTTACGCCCTTCCCAATTTTGAACCATGCAGTGTTCCCTTGCTCTGTTCTGACAACTGCCTCCTGGTCCAAGTATAAGTTTCGCATTAGAACGATCAAGTGTTCTGGGATTCCCATTCTTCTCAGAGTCAACCATAGTTTGTTATGATCTACACAGTCAAATACCTTTGCATATTCAACGAAATACAGATAGACATTCCTCTGGTATTCCCTGCTTTCAGCCAAGATCCATCTAACATCAGCTACAATATCTCTAGTACCACGACCCCTTCTAAACCCAGCCTGGACTTCTGGTACCGTCCCTTTAACCACTGCTGTGCATAAAGTACAAAAGAGAATGGTCCTTTGCAGGAGGTGGTAGAGAGTTTGTGTTAATTTGAAATTAATGCAAATAATTTGACAGCATGAGGAATATAATGTATTCTCTCTGGTTCTCAAAGATGTTTTCTGACTGTACCAAGTTGTCTAGCAGTTTGAGGGGAGATGGTTTATCTTCTTGGTATTTAGAAATGTGGTGTGTTTTTTTGTTTTGTTTTTCCAGAAAGCTTTTTATCGTCAAGGGAAAATGAATGCTAGTTCTGAACCCATCTGTGGCAGATGGTTAAATAATTGAAAATGTGGCAGCTGGAATTCACCTCGGAAGAAAGGCTTGGTGATCTGCTTCTGAAAGGTCACAAAAAACAAAATTGTCAAAAACAGAATTCCACAGAGTAGAAAGAAATACTTGTAATATTAATATTCGCCATAGAGCCTGTAGAACTATGTCTATATTATTTGGGGCCTTGCTAGCCTATTGAGGCTATGTTTTCAAAACAGTATTTTCAAATACAGGTGAACTTTTTTGGTCATAGTGTCTTGTTGTATTCCTGGGTGAACTTTATTGTTGTTGTTCACTGCAACATATTTTCAGAGGCTGTAAATCACAAAGGAGGAGAGATTTCTCATCTTTCTCCCTTGGAGCAGCTGGTGGATTCGGACTACCTGCCTTTGCATGGACAGCACAACTCCTTACCCTCTAGGCCACCAGAACTCCCTCGATGACCATTAAAGGGGGGGAAAATATCTTTTCCAGAATGTTTTCTTCAACTGTTATTATCTTATTTAGAGCAGAAGTGTTGTTCAGTTTTAAGTGAATTCTAATCCTTTGCCAAAATCTGCAGTTTGCTTTCCTAAGCTTTATGTTCTACTTATTATGCTTTCATTTTGTGTATGTGCAGATGACTGACATAGCATTGATTATTAACACTGATAAGAAGAAAAAGTTTAAAAATATGCCAGACTTGAAGAAAAGCCCATTAAAGGGAAAAAAAGAAAAGAAAAGTGACTCTTCAGTGCTAACGTTCTCTCAGTGATTAATAAGCACTGGCCTGGGTACAGATCTGGATTTCAGATAGTTTCATCATGTTCAGATATTTTTCATATTTTGAGCTTCCCAGTGGATTAATTTCGCATGTTCATTTTTAGAAATTTTTTTCTTTTCCCAGCTGAATCATAGTTATCATCTATGCTTTTCTTTGTAGGAAGAAAAAAAGAAGTTTGACAAAGAGACAGAAAAGAATTATAGCCTAATTGATAAACATTTGAATTTATCAGCAAAAAAGAAAGATTCCCACTTGCAAGAGGTATGTATCCTTTGTTTCTTTTAGTTTCTAGAATTTAATAAACAATATATGTTCTTTTTATAGAATGTGATTTTCTCTACAAACTTTCCACCTAGGATTATATAGAGAGGAGGAAAAAATGAACAGGGATAACTATAAATTAAGACAAAAAGACTTTGATGGGTTAAAACATAAATATAATAATGATTAATTCAACATAAATTCCTATCAATAAAAGGTTTGATTCTGATGATTTCCTCCCCCTTCCCGAAATAGTAATTTTTACAAGCAGTATTGAAGAATAGATTATTTTTGAGAACAGATCCATTAATTGACTTTCATATCTTAAATTAATTTAATAATAAGTTCATATGCCATTTTGCTTTTACCTGAAGGCACCATTAATTTTATTTACCATAGAGATTCAGAAAGTTCAGCTTCATTAGAAAGAGATTGCCAATTTTACTTCTGTTAATAAAACTCACTGATTTTGGGGTAAGGACCAATATGTAAGGAAAAAGAAATTCATGTTGTATTTAATATTTTTCTTTCTTTTTGAAATTCATTTCCACTTTTTTTTTAACATTTCAATATATCTTGAATGGTTTGCTTAATTATTTATAATCTGGGATATATTCTGTCATTCAAGAAATCTTAGGACAACTCACCAAAGTATGTGTTTATTTTTCATTTATTTATATTTAGATGCATGAAGAATCTGAGTATAAGGTACAACTATAATGTATACTTGTAACATCAACAGAATAACTCTGTCAGCTCCTGTATAAACGCAATTACATTTAAATGTCAAATACTTGTTTTGAAACCATGTGTATGTATGTAATTAATGATTTATTTTTGTTTAGACATTATCCTCATGTTCCACTGTTTTCTTTTTTGTCTCTCCTACCTTTGACTGACATTTGGATGGTGTTTAACAGATTAGGAAAGAGGAAGGCGCTTTTATATCCCATAATCCTCACAACAATGCTGTAGGTAGATAGGCCTGCATTCTCTCTTTGTTCCTTTTCATGTAGAAAACCATGTGCTTGTGAAATGTACTCTCTCATCCCCACCCTCTGCTAATTTTGAAATGACAGCTGTCACTTTTATTGTCCCCCTTCATGTTTTATTTCTTTGATAGGGCCTCACTCTTTCAATCTATTCTCCCTTATTTTATCAGGTATCTTGGAGAGCCTTTCCGCCCACGGTTACTTTCCATCTTTACTTCATTGATTAACTAGATATTTCATTCTGTAAGTAGCTCAGGCAAAATTTTTGAATTCATCCCTGGCCTTTAATCTCACATCGTGCTTTTGTTAGGCGCTCTTGAGTTGCCTATGACTCTTAGCGACCTTATGCATAATAGCTCTGAAGCCTGTCCTTATCTTGAGCCAGTCTCACTGTCTCCAACACACCTGCCCCCATTACTCCAGTTACTGTACTAGTTCGTCTTATTCCGGGGCTCCCTCTCCTGTGCGGTCCCTTCACCCTTCCAAGCATGATGACCTTCTCTAAGGACATTATGGCAACATGTCCAACGTATGTAAATATGGAGCTGTAAAATCCTTGCCTCCAAGGAGCAATTTCACCTTCTCCAGGACAGATTCTTTGCCCTCTTGGCAGTCTATAGTATGTTCAGTACTCTTTTCCAGCATACATCTTCTCTTTGCTCACATCTTTACATCCAGTCTATCAGTGTTTATTGTCTTTGCCTTTAGGATCTGTGTAGAACGTGTTTACTTCTCACTACCATCTTGACCTAAGATGGTGGCCTTATATCTAACGTGGCCTCTTAACTAGTCTCCCAGTTCTGGCCATTTTAGTCCTACAGTTTATTTTCTGCACAACACCTAGTGAGCTTTCATATTCTTCTACTCTTTCAACTCTGATGGCTACCACTGGAGGCCCAAAGGATCTTATATGATTGTCCACACTGACGCTTGCCTCCATCCACTTGCCTTTGTTTGGTTGGCCTGGGACAAGCTTAAAAAAATATCAGGTGTTTAAGCAAGTGAAAGGTACTATTTATAGGATATAAATTAAACTGCGATCCTAAAGAGTTTGCTAGTGTTTGGGTTTTTTTGGTTATTGTTATTGTTATTTTTAGGTGTCATTGAGTCAGCTCCAGATCTTGGCAACCCTGCCCAGTCCAGTCCCGTGCTCATGTTCTCTTTGGTGCATGAGGCTGTTGTTGCAGTGACTGCATCACAGCCATTCTCATTGAGGGTCTTATTTTGCTGCCTTTTAGTGAATTAATTGAGATACTTAAAGAATTTAATAGAAATTGTTGAGAGTGATCATTAACTAAGGTATAGAAATTTATGTAATCCTTTCTGTTCTGTCTTCTTATTTCAAAGAAAATTAACAGGAGAAAAATTTGTCACAAAAATTAAGCATGCTATTCTAATAATTTTGTTAGACTTTTAGCTCTGGCTCTACATGTATTAGACTTAATAGCTTCCACTTTCATCCACATCTCTAAATTCTCTGAAGTACTATTATTATAGCAAATATTGAATACATGAGAAAATACCCTTTCTGTTAATTTTGAAAGTGTATTCTTCCTTTATGAGTTGCCAAGTGATAATATTTTAGCATAAAGATATTAGAGAATTAGATCATTTAGAAGACTTTCTCTGAAGCTAATGTATTCTTATTATACATACTATAGCAAGAAATGGATAGAAATTGTATGGTTAACAGATTGAAATTGTACATTTGTTAAGGATAACAGACTTCTGGTTGGTATATTAAAAACCATACTGATTGCCTTTAGACTTGAGCCAGATTATAGAAAATTGTTCTCCTAGATACAATTTGAAACTCTATGGTATTGGAAGATAAGGTTTACTGATGACATTAGGAATCCTGGGGAGTTAATTATGTATGTTATGGCACAGAAATTCTGTACACTCAGGCCATTAACAGCTTGGTGATTAGAGTTGATCAGCCAGCAGTTTAAGGATAATTGCAAGCACAACCAGTTGAATTAGTTAAGGGACAAAATTGACACGACAGATTTAGCCCTGATAAGCTAACAATTATGGCTGAGGATCTGGAGAAACTGGATTCCCCCTGCATTGCTGGAGGAAAGTATAATGGTGCAGCTGCTTTGGAAACCATTTTGGCAGTTTTTCAAAAGTCAAACAAATAATGAATTACCTCTCTCTCATTGTAATCCATGGGATCTGACTCATAGCTTTTTACTCTCCACTGAATTTCCCAGGCTGTAAATTGCAAAGGAGGAGAGAGAGTACGCATCTTTCTGCTGTGGAGTGACTGGTGGATTGAACTGCCCAGAGCAGTCCCAGTCCTTCTGGACTGTGTCATCTGAACTCCTTTACCTTAGCATAAAAGCCAGTAATTCCATTCCCAGTGTGTACTCAAGAAAACTGAAAGCAGAGACTCCAATACATATGAGCACACAAATGTTCTTTGCGATACTATTTCTAATAGCCAACAGGTGGAAATGATTCACGTGTCTTCTAGCAGATGAATGGAGGAAAAGAAATGACATATCAAAACAATGGAATATTATTCAGTCAAAGGGAAATAAAATTCCGATAATATGCTGCAACACAGATCAGTCTTGTAAAGATTATACTGCGTGAATGTTATCAAACAAAAGGACAAATATGAATGATCTCATGGTTGTAAAATAACTAGATTAGGTAAAAGGATAAAGGTAAAAGTATATTAGTGGTTACCAAGGATGGGAGGAAAGAAAAAATGGAGGTTACTGTTGAAGAGATACTGAGTTTTTGTAGTGCTGTACAACTTATGGAAATGAATAGTGATGTAGCAAAACATCTAAATCCAATTTAATGTCATTTAATAGTACAGCAAAGTGTGGATAAAGATAACAAACTATGTTGTATTTTACAGTAATAGAAAAATAATGTGTCTTTGGTATAATTCTCTTAAAGCAACTTTCTTCCTAAGCATACAATGACAAAATCATCCTTCCTTTATCATGTCTTCATTTTATTAAATGCTAATCCTAATTGCACTGGGAAAATCTGCAGTTAGGAACCTCTCAAAATTATTGAGGGATAATGATGTCATTTTGAGGACTAAGGTATGTCTGATTCAGGTCATAGTCGTTCTGATCACTTGCTGTGCATCTGAGAACTGGACAATGAGTAGGGATGATAGAAGAAGAATTGATGCCTTTGAGCTGTGGTGTTGGAAAAGAGCACTGAACATCCCATGGAGGGCCAAGAGAATGAACAGATATGTCTTGGAGAGGGTGCAGCCGGAGTTCTCTTTGAGGGAAGAATGAGGCTTTGCCTCACATACTTTGGGCTTGTTGCTAGGAGGTGCTATTCCATGGAGAAGGATATGATGTTGGGAAGGTGAAGGATTGGCAAAGGGGAGGAAGACCAGGTGGATTTGACACGGTGACTGCCGCAGTGGGCTCCTGTGTGTCAAGAAGTGAGGACGGCACAGGATAGAGCAGGATAGATCTTTTGTTCACAGGGTCAGTATGAGTTGCGCTTGATTTGACGGCACCTAACAACAATAACATCCTAATTACATGGCCTTTGATTAGAATTATTGCTGGTGACTGCATTGTCAAACCAGTGCTTAGCCACACAAATGTGCCATGGTTTTGAGGTGATTTTAGATAAATTTTTATTTAGATTTACTTCTCTATGCCACTGAGTGGGAAATGACGCTGAATTGGCCCTCTGGTGGATTTTGTTGTTGTGTTCTTCGGTGCGATCGAGTTGACTATGACCCATAACTTCCCCTTGAACAATGGATCTGAACCTTACCCTGCCCTGTGCCATTCTCGTCATCTCTGATACACTTGAGTCCATTGTTACACTATGTCAGCCCATCTTTTTGAGGATCTTTTGCATCCTTTCCACAAAGATGTCTTTTTCCAAGGACTAGCCCCCCCCCCCCCAAGGACATGCCTAGAGAATGTGAGATGAAGTTTTTACCATATTTGCCGATAAGGAGCACTCTGGTTGTACTTTCTCCTAGACATACTTCTTTGTTCTTTTGATAGTCATTAGATACTCAGTACTCTTTTTCAACACCACAAAAAAGGACTCCTTTTTCTCCTTTGGTATTGCTGGTGTATTCTAGCTGCCATAGAGGCACCACCTACGGGTTAGCAGCACAGCTCCTTACTGACTACCCCACCAAAGTTCCTCTGATTTTGCTTTATTAACGATTTTCATATAGGTAAACACTATCATACTTTGGACACCTTGCAAGGAGGGACCAGTCCTTGGAGAGGGATGTCATGCTTGGGAGGTGGAGGGACAGCGCAAGAGAGAAAGACCCTTGATGGGATGGATTGATTCAGTGACTGGGGTAATGGGGGTAGGCGTGTCAGAGATAGTGAAATCGGACCAAGATAGAGCAGGGTTTAAGACTGTTGTACATAGGGCTGCTTTGAGTCACAGGCAACTTGACAGCACATAACAACAACAGCAACACTATTCTACTTACAAAAGCATTTTATGCTAACACACCCCTCCAACCAACTTACTCTGCGTGACATAAATATGTTTTAAATGTAAAATGAACCAAATTAGTAAAAACATCACATGGTGCCTTGTATAGTGATTTCTGGGATGAGCGTTCTTTCACTGCCTGCCCTGTCTCTTTAAAAGCAGTGTGCTTCTAGGGAGCTCTGGTAGCCTAGTGGCAAGAAGCTGTACTGCAATCCCAGAGGTGTGCAGTTCAAATCCACCAGATGCTCTGCTGAGAAGGAGGGGCAGTCTCCTCCTGTACCTGACAGATCCAATTTGACGGCACACACACACACAATAATAAAGTAAAAAATTAAAGAAAAATAAAAGAGCAGTGTACTTCTCTCTCCTTTTTGTTCTAGTGAAGAGAAGATGTGCTGGAACCAGTTTTTGAAAAGACTCTTGAGCAGTTGGTGCTCCCTTCACTCTGAGAGGGTTAGATGTTGAGAGAGCTCAGGAGGTGGCAACTCTAGATAGGGTTCAGCCTCGGTCTGCATGGAAGAGCCACGTTGTTGGAATGGTGCCCCTCCTCGGCTGCTGCCATCACTCACGCAGCGCTGGGGGACTGGAATTTGTCAGCCCTCTCTCTCAGCCCTGGTGACGCACTTGGCTGCTGTCTGGAAGGATGGTGGTTTGCACCTACCAGCTGCTCCATGAGAGACACACCCGATGCTGTCTTCTTGTGAAGATTTCAGACTAAGAAACTATGGAGCGATTCTGTTTCATCACACATAGTCACATTGAGTTGGAAAGGACTCAGTCACACCTTACTAAGAACAGTAGCAACTCTCTCAGGCCAAATTAATCCTTATATTTGTGAATTCAAAGTGATGTTTCTATGGTGATTATTATATTCTTTTTATTTTTAGAAATCTCTCAGTTCTTTTTCATTTTGGTCCATATCTATGTTTGCTTTTTCAATACTTTTCCGACGTGAGATTAGTTAAATTTATGATGTTGTTCAACTATTGATTTTTTGCGTTTTGAATATTTTTTCCTGTGTGACATTTGTTCCATTTATGATGTTGTTCAAGCATTACCATGGCCTGTTTCCAGATTTTCCAATTGTCTTTAACAGATGTCCAGTGGTGGTTTGTGTTTTTTGTTTTGGTTTTTTTTTTTTAAATGTGAATTTGCTTTTATATGTGTGGTTCAGCCTAATGTGATCATTGTGGTCAGAGTTTTTCACTAAGAAGGCTTTACTGTCTGGGTTGTAATCCTTTAGATTCAACCTCATGAGTCAGTTTCCACTCAATAACATAACAATGACTTAACAGACAGAGCAGGGATTGGCAAATGTTGTCTGTAAAGGGTTAGATAGTAAATACTGGAGACTTTTGTGTATAATAGTTCCTATTGCAGCTAGTCTGTCAGTTTTGTTGTAGCAGGAAAGAAGCCATGGAAGATAAAATAATGAACAGGCACGGCTGTGTTTTAATACAACTTTATTGAATACAACAAGAACAGACAGTGGACTGTAGGAGTCTGTAGGGTGTGGTGTGCACACTGTTAATAGAAATCTCCCTTCTCTTTGTATCCCATTTGACTTCTCTCTCTCTCTCTCTTTTTTTTTTAAAACGCAGGCAGATATCCAGGTGGAGCAAAATCGGCAACACTTTTATGAGCTATCTCTTGAATATGTATGTAAGCTTCAGGAAATCCAAGAGAGAAAGAAGTTTGAGTTTGTGGAACCTGTGAGTATTACAGCAAGAAGATCTGCTAGTAGATTTTCACAAAATAATAGAATTATTTTTTTCCTTCCTAGATCTAATTTTTTAAAATCTGAATGTAAAGCAAGGCATTGTAAGTTATAAAGGGCAGTCACAGATAACTCTGAAGTCAAGGAATTACTCTAAATCCCTGCTTCTAGGTTTATTTGCCCAACAATATAAATATTATTCTTGTTACTACATTCACTCAAGAATTCTGCATCTGTTTCTGCCATACTCAAAAACACTCTGAAACAAATTGCATTTGAATATTAAGAAGGATAAGGGGACATTTTTATTTAAATTTCTTTCTAAAGCAAACATATCAGCCCATACTTAGGTACATTAAATAATTAATGGTGACAAAGTCTTTCTGACAAGTAACGTGCTTATGACTTAAGTTAAAATGCGTGTGACTCGCAATTGAGAATTAGTGTGTATAACATTTGAGATAAATTGTGAACTACTCCACATTTCTTAATTTTAAAAATACATAACTTGTGTTTACATAGTTATTTTTTTAAATTAATTGCATATATATTCTCAGAGTAAAAATATAAAATATTTCATACTGTGGACCTGTTGTGTAGAAAGAAAATGTGAAACTCTGGAACTGGAATACAAGATTATATAGAATGAGTTTTACTCTTTGTTATCAAGGGGTTTTTGTGTGTGTGTGTGTGTGTGTAGCTGATGTCTTAAACAATTTTATTGAAATATAATTATTTAGCCATTGTGTGTGTGCTTTTGAAAAATAAGAAAAAATGATGACTAAAAGAAAAACAATTAACATTTGTGAGGCTGTGATCTAGTTAAACCTCCTTACAACTTATTTTTTTGTGAAATTATTTATTGAGCACTTATTAAGGGATAACATTTTTTCTAAGTGTTTTGCTGTGCTTGTTCTTTTATTCTACACAATAATTTAATGAGAAGATATTTTTAATGATCTCATTTAGTTAGTAATGAAATTGGAGAAACTTTCATTAAGTTTCTTTCCCCAGGTCACACAAGTCATATCTGAATGAAGTTAGGAATTGACGGCACTTTGGCTGCTTGATTCCAGAGCACCAGATCTGAACCATTGTAGCAGACTACATTCCAGCATTGGAATAATTTTAAATTCACTTCTGCTGTAACTACTATACCATAGTTAAGCCTTTTCTGCTTTCTGGAAAAAATGAATTGCATCATTTCCTTTACTCTCAATCCCAAGACACTTTTGCTCATTTGGGGACAGACTAGCTGCCCTCTGATCAAATAGGGCATACATTTCATTACAGCCCTGTTACAGTCCTTGGATGCCCTTGAACAAATTACTGAAAAACCTTGTCACACGGAAAGGATGCATCAAAGCCTGTCATAACAGAAAGGAAGTCATTTTAGAGAGCTTTTTGCTCCTCAATTCCATAATTTCACCTTCTTACTTTTTACCTTTGTGGCAAGCTTTCAATTGTAAATTAAAACAGGATTTCTTTCGACTTCAGAGGAGAAATTAATGATTCTGAATTCCTTTTCTCTCATCTTAATCATTATTTTTACTAATTGCTGTAATCAGAACTGACCCATAGCTTCCGCTCCTGGAGGTTTTCAGGAGGTTATAAAGAGCACAAGAAGAGATTGCCCAAACTTCTCTCCCATGGAGCAGCTGATGGATTTGAACTGAGTGCCGTTCGGTTGGCAGTGAAGCTCCTTGTCACTAGACCACCAAAGCTTCCTCGTGAGCTCTGTTTGGGTTGTCTCTGAAATATGAGAGAAAATAAAAATACACCATAAAACACCATATATTTTTCTTTTATAAGAACTAATTTATGAATAGTGAGCAGAAATGGAGAAGACCAATGTCTTTAATCCTTCTCTCTTGCTCCCAGATTTTCCTGTGCTAATGACACATTTTTCTCTTTTGTCTTAGATGCTGTCCTTTTTTCAAGGAATGTTTACTTTCTATCATCAGGGACATGAACTTGCCAAAGACTTCAATCACTACAAAATGGAACTGCAGATCAATATTCAGAATGTAAGCAAAGGAAAGCTTTCTGTTACAGAGAAATGTGTTTTGATCAGTTGACTAAACAGTTTTTGCTACTGAGAAATTGAGGATGGGCTGCCACCTTCTGGTCAATTCTCAGTGTAGCAAACTTGTCTGCGTGGAGCTGGGGCGCAGGAAATTCTGCCACCTGGTGGCTCTTTCTGCTTGTTTTGGGGGACTTTTCTAAGGCTAATCTTTGCATATGATTGAAGTTATTTGTGAGTGAAACAGGCAAACTAACACTCCACTGTAGATTTCAAGCATTTACATATACTGATCTGAAATTCTCTGTTAACTGTATGATTTATTTTGATTTCTATTTCCAGATAGACTTATTTTGTAGTGTTGTTATCAGGTGCCATTAAGTTGACTGACTCATAGGAACCCTTTGAACCACAGATCTGAAGAGAGACTTATATTTAAATAGAATTACTTCTTTAGTACTTTCATGTGCATCTATGAATGTATTTACTGTTTATCATTACAATTTAAAAAATTATTTTCCTTTAGGAATTCACAGACTACTCCTATCTTGGCTAAACAGATTCAGATTCAGATATTTATTCATAAAATAGTTTATGTATGTGCCTTTGATCAGAAAATGATAGATTTTTTTTTCCATGTTGTTTCAGCTGATTTTGGTAGTGACCATATTGAAAACCTAGAATGTTTTGCATAATTTAAACCCTTGTTAAAATTTAACTTGATGATATTGTAGCAAACTTAGAGCACACATTGAAGGCACACAGGCTGAAGGATGGGCATCTCTGATGTCTGCTACCTGCTCTTTATTTTTTTAATTTAGAAGTTAATGTGGGCTCTGGCATAGATTTTTCTTTAGGGCTGCTAGCCCGAAGGCACGCAGTTCAAATCCACCAGCTGCTTTGCAGGAGAAAGATGGGCAGTGTCCTCTTGTGTAATTTACTGTTTTTGTAAATCTCTGAGGGTCAGCTGTGAGTTGGTTTTGACTCTACAGTATACAACAAAAGGCTTCTGTATAGGTTTTTTAAACTTGGAAATGTTGGAAATAAAGATAATGAGGTTTTTATTTTTTAAAATTATGTGCCAAAGTGTTTATTTTCATATTATTTGGGCATTCAATGGGGATGCTGACTTTTAGAGTTCTTGGCTACGTAGTTTATTATTGTTGCGATGATCCTAAGACAAGTAGAAAAGAGTTTCAAAGAATAAGGTATGACTCCAGTCTAACAGAAATTTGTAAAATGCCAGCTGTGCAGGAACAGGATCCTGGTGGTGTAGTGTGTTATATATCGAGCTGTTCACCGAAAGGTTTGCTGTTCAAATCCACTAGCCATTTCATAGTCGAAAGATGGTCAATCTCCTTCTATAAACATCTGTAACCCGAGAAACCTGATGGTCCCTGTCATTTGGAATTGATTCAGGGTCACTAAATTGTAACCATTTTTTATTATCTCTAAATAAATATGCTTCTGGGAGACACCATTCAATCTGTAACACTTTCCATTTCATAATTTACTCAAACATGGTACATTTAAAAAAGAACTAAGCCTTCCTTCCCTATCTTCCCTTACCTTTGCAGTGTAGAAGTGTCAGCTTCAGAGACAGTGGGGCAGTGAGGGCCGGGTAGCCTGTGTGGAAGCATCCCCAGCACAGGAAGTGGATGGTGGTGATGGGGAAAAGTTATCATGGAGAAGAGGGGCTTCAGGTTTCAGGAAGCTTCAGTGCATGGAGCAGATATGTTAATGGAGCAAAATCTGTCTGTATATTGAGGGTAATAGAGCCAAGTGTCTCTCAGATAGAGAACAAATTTACTTATTTAGAGGTGGGAGCAAGAAATGACCCTGAAATATTATTTATAATTTGATTTATAAGTATGAAGCTGTTGATTTTAAAAATGTAATGGAGAATTAGTGAGTCATGAGTTGTTTTTTTGTTCTTTCCCCCCATTTTTTATTAGGAACAGCTCACTGCCATTGAATTAAATCTGACATCTAGTGAATTTACACTGGGTCTCTGAGGCTGTCAATCTTTATCATAGGAGCCTCCTCATCTTTCTCCTGAAGAGTCGCTGGTGGATTCAAACTGTTTACCTTACAATTGACATTACAATATGTAATGCGCTTTATCTCCAGCACTCTCTTTATGCTTGTTTGTGTGCATATACATATGTATATGGCTCAGAAGAAAGGCCTGGTGATTGACTGAAATGCTGTTGACATTGAAAACCCAGTTCTGCACTCAGGGAGTCACCATGAGTTGAAATTGAATTGATAACAATTGGTTTGATTATTTTTGTGTGTGTGTATGTATAAACCTAAACTCAAACCATTGCCATTAAGTTGATTCAACTCATGGTGACCCAGTTTGAGCATAAATTATGCGAGTATTGGATGCAATCTATGGAATTAAGTAAGAGAGAGAGGAGTTTGTATATCTGAGAGAGAGATAAAGAGAGAGAAGGGCATTGATACATATGTAGCATTTATATGGTGTACAGAGGGCAGATTTGGGGGCATCTCAGGAAAGTGATTAAAGAAGGCAATAAAACAAGGAGGTAATTAGTAGAAAGATGGGTGCTTAAACACTGCAGACAAGAGAGATGGAAAGAAAAGCAGAGAATGTCCATCAGCAAATAAATTCTACTGTTTTTCACCACCCTGTAATTTCTTTATGTATATAAACAGAGCTTCTGGTTTTTTCTTCTCAGTTTGTGTTTAATCTGCTATATTTTCTGCTCTTAGCAGTAGCCATTTTTATTGTAGAGAGGAGGAAAGAGAAATTTCAATAATAATTTTTCTGCCTAGTTCCTTCATAGTTTCACATCAGCGGTTTTTTGGTATTAATACAATTATTTCTGAGCACATGTGAAAGAAATGTCCAAGATCCAGGTGATGCTGACTCATGAAAATTTCTTTGGTAATTTTGTCACTTACCTTTTATATACATTTTGAGTGTAGCCATCTGACAGAAATGAAGCCTCCTGGGTTTTAGAAATGCAATTTGCTGTTCTGATATAAAAGCTAGTATTTGTGTTAGGTTGTGGAGGTTCTTTGTTGTTGTTGTGTTTATCTTTTCTTATAAAGGGGAAAAGAAGTAATTGTTAAGTCTCATTACTATCACCTGAGAAAATTCACATTTACTAGTTCACAAAGATTAGCCTATAATTATACAATGACTTATTTATACTCTTCATTAGCTATTTTACTACTATTTTTTTTTTCCTTTTGAACAAAAATCTCAGTAAGAAAAATACTGTGAAAAAATGGGGTTGTACTGAGAAACTTGTAGTCCTGCAGATCAACTACGTACCTTATAGTTCTCTAGGTAGCTCTGGTGTCTTGTTAAGTACTGTGGAGATGGAACTGACCCATAGTTGACCCTCCAGTGGGTTTTTAAAGGCAGTACATTGCATAGGGGGAGATTGCCTATCTTTCTTCTACAGAGCAGCTGAGGATTTGAATCACGTTCCTATATTGCATAGGAGGAGATTGCCTATCTTTCTTCTACAGAGCAGCTGTGGACTTGAATCACGTTCCTTTGGGTTAGCAGTATAACGCCTTCCCACTAAGCCACCAGTGCTACCTGACCACTGGCTCAGTGGTAAAGAATTATACTGCCAAGGCAAAGGTACTTGGTTTGAATCTACTAGCTGCTCGTGTGAGAAGGATGGACAGTCTCCGCTCATGTGATTTACTGCCTCTGAAAATCCTCTGAAGGGTCATCTATGGGTTGGTTCTGACTCTACATAACAAGTTAAATGATGATTTGAAAATGTGAATGAAAAATCTTACTTGAAAAATTTATATATGTGTGTTTTATTCATTGCAGACACGGAATCGTTTTGAAGGAACAAGATCAGAAGTAGAAGAACTTATGAACAAAATCAGACAGAATCCCAGGGACCACAAGCGAGCAAGCCAGTTTACAGCAGAAGGCTACCTTTATGTACAGGAAAAAAGTAAGAGTCGCTCAAACAATGGTTGAAATTCAAATGATTTAAAAATTCTGCTGTGCCTACTGTAAAGAACCCTGGTAGCATAGTGGGTTCAATGTTAGTCTGTTAAAAGAAAGTAAGTGGTTCAAATCCTCCTCTCACTTCTCCAGAGAAAGATGAGACAGCCCATTTCCATAAAGGCTTACAGCCTCAGGAACCCTATAGACCAGTTCTACCCTGTCGTAAAGGGTCACTGGGGGTTGTAATTGACTTGACAGCCGTGCACATTCTTTATTAGGATTACTGTCACATTTTTTGTATAATTGAAGGTTGGGACCAATTGTATTGCCATCTTCCTTTTGAGCAACCTGCATTCCATATATAATCAGTTTGCCTCATGTGCAACCACTGCTTGTCGACCCATACTGCTCTGATGCTTTATACATTTCATAGTCTGATGCTGAACATCCTTCAGTCTAAGATGGACTAGACTTGGAAGAAAGGCTTGGTGATCTACTAAAGACCAGTCACTGGGCACCCTCTTGATCCCAGTGGTCTGATCATCAGCTGAACCTGGTGGCAGCAGAAGACCGTGCAGTGTTTCATTGCATTGTGCACAGGGTAGCCATGAGTCAAGGGCTGACTAGATTCTAGTTGTTAGTTTCATCTAACGACAATGTTTGTGCTGTGAACACCTTTCTTCCACTAATAATCCACACAGCTCCACACTGTGCCTTTAAGAAACTTTGTGAAGGAAGCCAAGATTTGGTATAGGGCTAGGAGATTGAGATTCAAGGACATTGCTATTTGTTTTAAAAATAGTTATCACTTTGTCCACTCCCCTCACCCTTTATCACCAACACCACAGTCTATCTACTACACAGAGACGCACACACGTTCACCCTACATCTTTGTCCTGTCAAGAACAAGAGGGACAAATGTATCTTTTTCCTTTCTATATATTTTCTTTACACATAACTCTACAACCTATACAGAAAATTGGACTCTGAGTTTACATTTTTACTTTAATTATCCAGGTGACTGTAAATAATATTCTCTGGTAGTGTCCTAGTTCATTTTACCAGTTTTTAATATTGTTGCTGTTTTAAACATACACAGTGCATAAGATGCCCTTATTTTGAAAATCAAGAGACCTTAAATGGCAAATTTTAATAATTGGAACTTTTTTCAGTAGTTAATTTCTTAGAATTTAATTGGGTTGATAATTAGTCGAAAAGAAGAGAATGTGAAAATATTTTTATGTTTACTATTTTTCTTCCTCCTGAACCTTGAATGTAATTAGAATGCCTTACAATTTTAATTTTCAATTCTAACTCCACAGCAATGAGTTTGAGTTATGTTTTTCTAATTTACAGGATTTTTAAACTGACTGGTTTAGTAACTGCACTTTGAATCAAAGTTTATATTATGGGTAATGAGTAGAATGGTACTTTTAAAATTTGTCACATTTTAGTATGTTGTTGTTAGGTGCTGTTGAGTCAAGTAAGACCTTAGGAACAACAAACCTGCATCCTGTCCTATCTTGTGCCATCGTCATCATCTCTGATACATTTCAATCCATTGCTGCATAGACTGTTGTTGTTGTTAAGTGTTGTCAAGTCATAGATGACTCATAGCGACACTGTGAAGGAAAGTCCTGACCACTCATAAATTTCATTGTTTCTCTAAGTTCCTAGAGTTTCCTGAGGCAAGCTGTTTCAGAAGTGGATGCCATTCCTGCTTCCAAGCCTGTTTTAATTTGAGAGTTCCACCGAACACTGTCCACCATGAGTAACTATTATTGTATTTGACATCAATGTCACAGTGTTTTCTATCACAGCAACCACAAGTTAATTTAGTACAGCATATTGACAGACCAGTGCTATACCACTTAGAAGAATGTTTAAAACCAATTAAATACGAGGCCAAATCTAATCAGCTCACACCCAATTGCAAGCAACAGTCCTCACCCATGCCTCAACCAAAACAGAAAATATAACTTTATAGAATCCAGCAGTTTCACTATCTTCCCAAACTGGGAAGCATAAACTAGCATAATCTTTATTTTTAATGTAGAAATGAAATGACTTGGTGGAAAAATTATACATGCTATATCTTCTTATTCCTAGTTTTTAAAATTAAACTTGAAAGAACTAAATTAAAATAAAGATAATATAGGGATGAGTATAAATTCTTAGTAGTCTATGCCATCCAAAATTTACAGACCCATTTGCATTTTAGATTTATAACTTTTGCTTCATTTATTGGTTTGGGGAGGGCTTGGGAGTCCTTGAGTGTGGCTAATGGTCGGGCACTTGGCTGCTGATAGAAGAGTTGATCATATGAATTCACTCAGGGTACCCCGGAGGAATGGCCTCTGAAAGTTTACGCTTATTGAAAACCCACCTTCTCTGATACACATGGAGTCACCATACATTGGAATTGGCTAAGTGGCACTTGGTTTGTTTTGCTTTCATTTGGATTGAAACCGCACGGGTGAAAAACAGTAGTGGTCAATTCTTCTGTCATTTACTGTATGCTGCCTACTACACTAAGCTTTGTATACAGTTTGTCTCATTTAATGTGCAACAACCCTGTGAAGTAAAAGATATAATTGTACTATGTACAAATGAGAAAATGGAAAGATAAATAATATTGATTATCCAGTTTTCAGATGCTAGAATTGTCAGAATAAAGTTGACTCTGTCCTCTCCTTTGCTGTGCGTAGGTAGAGCTTGGACGAGTGTCATTGAGCTCCATAACCTCTCTGTTCAGAGCCGGTTGAGTGGTGGGGAGGTGGGTGTGAGCGGAGCATGGTGTCTTAGTAGTGGAAATAAAGATATTTGCAGTCAGAGACTTTGATTTGAAGTTTGTCGTCATTTCTCAGGCCTCTCTACTAAGCTTAAGTTTCTTCAGAGCAAAATGACACAAATATACCAAACTCCCCTTTGAAGTTTTTTCCGTAGTAGTAAATGAAATGTCTCTTACATATTTTCATGAGTCTGGAATATTGTATGAATGTTGTTGTTGTTGTTGTGTGCTGTGAAGTCAGAACTGGCCCATACTTGATCCTCCAGCAGATTTTCAGCTGCAGTGAATTGCATAGGAGGAGATTGCTCATCCATGGAGCAATTGGTGTGTTAGAACCATGTGCCTTTGAGATTGAAGCACAGTTCCTTACTACTAGGCTACCAGAGCCTCCTATGATACAAGAATGAATGATAATTGTTTAAAATATATACACCAGTCCAGTCTTTGAATTATTCAAGATTTAAGAGGAAGTTTATTGTGAATTATTATCACTTTCATCTTCCTCCTCTCCTCACACCCTCCGTATTCTCAGACAGTATAATTGGGTTTTCCTAAAGCTAAATGCATTCCTTTTTAATGAGATCTTTTCTCCCTGCACCTCATCTACCAGCCCACTACACCCTGCAAACTAAATTTGCTCTTCTAAGTTGAAGATGTTTGTTTGTTAGAAATTATGGTAATAATAGATGCTAAGAACTTGGTTTATCCTTTTAAATATTCCTAGTTGGTAATAAGTAATTCAACAACATTTTCTGGGCAAGATTTTTGTCGTTTGTTTTGTTTTGCAATTTGATTTTTCTTGTTCTATAAAATTCCAGTTGGCAGAAGCTTCAACATAGACTACTGTCCTTTAAGAGCTTTAATGGTTATAATATTGTCTGAACAAGAATTTAAAGGAGCTCTGGAAAAGTTCTGGTACATATATGGACAGTACATTCCCATATTGAGTCGAGTCTTCCTCATTTTTTATTAGTGAGGGCTACTGTTTCTTACCGGTGTGTGATGAGTAAAAACAATAGATGGTTTTCCAGAGTAAGTGCTTTTTCTGAGCATTTTGATTTCTGCAGGTCTGTGATTTTGAGAAGTCAGGATTGAGTTTAAAATAATTCCTGAATGAAACTGCTAAATCTCTTGCAAAATTTGAGTACAAACAATAAATAGAGCTTCCTGGTTCAGACATTGGGTTGGGGCGAGGCAGTTCAGTGGCTGAATGGCTAAGGAGCTGCACTGCCAAACCAAAGGCAGGTGATTTGAATCCACTTTCTGTTCTGAGGGAGAAGATGGGCAGTTTCCTCCTGTGTGATTTACAGTTGTCTACAACCTGCTGGAGGGTTAGCTGGGAGTTGCTTTTGACTCAGAGACAATGAATGAGTGTTGTGCAGTTATAGCTAATGTAGTGTAGCTGGAATTTTTAAAATATAGACAACACTGAAGTGTTGCTCGGAACAGGAAAAATTGTGGTTGATGCTGTACTAGAAACATTCACTATCTTCCTTTTGGAAAACAGACAGTGTACATGTTGCATAGCAACCAAGTATCTTAAAGGTCAGAGTTGGAAACAGTGGTCCTCTACTCAAACATGGTGGCTTACTGTGTTGCTTTAAGTGTGTATTGCTCTCCACAGTCCTGGCAATAATTTAGACTCCCATTTAGGCTCCTGAAAGGACTCACTGTGCTCTTCTGAGTCTTCCATTCAGGATCTTCAACCTGTAATTTTTCATGTTGTGGTTTTTCTTTCTGCTTCACATTTTAAATATCTGGGCCTGTTGTGATTTTACTTTGTTGACCATGACTGAACTGGGTTCAGGTCCAATTTTCAAGTATGAAATAACTTGATTTTTCTAGCAAACCCTAAAAAGTATGTCCTTAAATTGCTTTTGTGTGTTGCTGAAAATGTTTTAAGCTTCCATTTCAAATTATGTACATGAGCCTTCTTATCTTCCACAGATTTCAACCCATTTTGTTAGAACTGACAGAGTTGCTGATTAGTTTTTGGTAGCTGTGTTAGTTGCTTGTTGGATTTTCTTGCTTTATTAATGTGTTTGGAGCTGTGTATATCTGCTTTTTGAAGGGGAAAAACTTGAAGTTCTGTTTTTCTGTTGAAGGGCCTGCTCCATTTGGTTCTAGTTGGGTGAAACACTACTGCATGTACCGGAAGACAGCCAAGAGGCTCACCATGATCCCATTTGAGCACAGATCTGGGGGCAAACTTGTAAGTATTTTGTTTTACACCCTTTGTACTTAGTGTGAGAGATGGTCTGTGAGACTGTCATTTTAATGACATTTAAGGAACCTCCGTGGTATAGTACATTATGTGTTGGGTTGCTACCTGAAGGGTTGATAGGTCAAAACCAGTTAGCCTGTCTATGACAGAATGTCGAGGCAGTGTCCTCCTGTAAAGATTCACAGCCTCAGAAAGCCAGTGGAGGACTCAGCTTTATGACAGTGGGTGGATTGGGGTTTAATGATAAACAGTCTTATTTTGTATTGAATTTAAAATGTTTGCTTTCTTTTAATTAGAAAGACAATATGTTTATAAATATAGTAAAACATAAGACAGATTCACACCTGTGTTTTCAGAATTGTATGCATGGGTCAGGTTTTATTTTTTTTTTTTCTTTTTCAGTAAAGTAGAATCCTTTTTATGTCACTGTTAGTGGAAGAAAAAGATAACATCTCCATCAAAGCTCAGCTAGATGGTGCCCTGCTCTGTCAGTATTTTCACAGGGAATCTGACTTGCAAACATGTACTCACAGGCTACAGTATTGTGATGTAGAATGATTTGTGGTGACTGTCGTCATTGCTCAGTTAGGCTTATAAAGTTCTCCTTCAGGTATTCTCCATTAGTTTATACCTCCTCCTAAAGAAGTAAATGATAAACAAAGCGTGAGAGCTTTTAAGAAGACCATAGTCATTATATGCGTTTTATATAGAAACAATAACTTATGGCCTAGAGACACACAAGTTGGACACAACAATATTAAACATAAATAGTCACGTATTTCAAGAAAGCAGATTAAATCATTCACTGCTGGATGTATGGTTTTATGCTACATGGGCATTTTTTTCCCTGACATTAATAGAAAATATAATATATATACCTAAGTTATACCTATTTTCTATATGGTGTTTCTTCTTGAAAACATATACTATGAACTGTGCCACAAGAGCTCTTTAATAATAATAATAATAATAATAATAATAATAATAATAATCCCATTTGCATAAAAATTTAATGAACTAGACATGGAAAATCAGGGCCACAGAAAAGAGGAAGAAGACAACGTATCACTTTTAAAGGCTAATAAAAATGGAACAATCTCAAATTTGATGTTGTTTATATGAGTCAATTTAATTCAGTTACTAAGCCTACTTATTGATGTCTTTCTAATTTAGCTGCTAAATAATAATTGCATTTTGTGAGTAATGATTATAGAGGGTTTTAAAAAAAAATTTGTATATGAATGTTTACTGTTAAGCAGTGATCCTCACATTTTAGCAAATTTAAACTAGCTTTGGTGGCTTAGTCCTTAGGGAATTGCACTGCTGACCCAAAGGCAGTGTCTCTTTGGCAGTTTGAATCCATCAGTGGCTCCTTGGGAGAAAGATGGACAATTTCCTATGGTATGCAGCTTCTGAGAAATGGCTAGAGGGTAAGGTATGAGTTGGTTTCAACCCAACTGCTGTGAATTTGTTTATTTCTGAGGAATATCTACTCAGAATTCCTGCTGTTATTGTTTGCTAAGGATCAGTATTCCAATATAGTATACCAACATTACAGGCTGTCTCCTGCTTCCTAAGTATTTTTAGTGCCCTGAGAGTATGTGAGTCAGCGACATAAGATAATACATTAAAAAAAAAAAAGAAAGAAAGAAGTCCCCATTCCCACTGCTGTAGAGTTTATTCACACCTATAGTGTGACTCCGTAGGACAGAGCAGTGTTTTCAAGGCAGAGAATCTTTATGGACGTAACCTGCCTCATCTCTCTTCTGTGGAGTGACTAGTGGATACACCCCTATCTGTTAGCAGTCCAATCCTTAATTTAAAGTGTCACAGTGCTTGTGATTTTTTTTTAAAGTAAACATAAATCAGGGTTCTTCATTTACGGCACAGAAAAACTGCACAGATTAAATGATTCTTGCTTCAGATTATTACCCTACCTGATTAGATCCCTCCCCTTGTTTAATCAACAACTCAGACTCAATTCATTGCCATTGAATTGGGCTCAATTCATAACTGATCCTCTGCTGGGTTTTTGAAGGTTGTAAATCTCATGGGAGGAGATACCACCTTTCTTCCATGGATACACTAGTGGATTTGAATGGATTGGCTTTGGTTAGCAGCACAGATCAAAAGTGCTTATTTAGATAATTACTGCTTCACTTGGTATGCTTTAAGATACAAAAGTGTTCTTTTTAAAGAGTGTTATAAAAGAATAACACATTTTCTAGTGTATGAATAGTAGATTATTAATTCATTAGTCAAAATTAATATTGACTAAGGAAAGGAGAATAACTATGATTAAAAGCTACTTTGTTAAGTAGAGGTTAAAAGAAATTCTTCTGAAAGAGAATAAGATAAAAAGAAGGGCCTTCAATGTGAATTTTGCTTCCTCCCCATTGTAAGTATTATATATTTATACTGTATTTTGAAAATGTTTGAAATGATTTGATAATACATAAAATGATTATTTGCAGGGAGATGGAGATGTCGTCTTTTTAAAAGAATGTACAAAACGGCATACTGACTCCATTGACAGAAGGTTTTGTTTTGATGTAGAAGTTGCTGACCGGTAAGTTGTTACAATTATTGGACTTGTTGACAACAGCAATTTTTTAAAAAATTGTTTTTAAGTACAAACTAATGGCAACTTAGATTTCCATGGTCAGGATAAATGTTATTCCATTTCCAGGCTAGATTCATTAGGAGCAGTTCAATTTTTACAATGTTTAACTGTGGAGTGATAACTAATCTTGCCTTTGGAGTCATTCTAAGCAATGCTGTCAGTTAAGAAATGACCTTGGAATGGTTGGTTCATTGTTGATTGATGCCTAACCTGTGGCACTGAAAGATTACTATGAGCAAGAGTGAGGAAATGGATAACAATATTAGGAAAGGTCCTAATAATTGTTGACACAGAGTAATAGTCATTTATGTGAGATTTTATGTGTGTGTGTGTGTGTGTGTGTGTGCGCACACATGTGTGTTAATGAATTATGAAATGATATTTTCCAGAAAGGAAGAAGTAAAAAACAGTGGTGGAACAACAACAAACCTCAGGGGGAAAAAAACCCCAAAAAAGACCAGTCTGTCAGTGTTACTGTGTGTTTGGTATTTGTTTCCATGCCATCCACAGGCAGTAAGGAAATTCATGGTACTCAAAGAATATTTCCTTACTATTTGCTGACCAAACAGTGATTCCTTGCCAGCTCCAGTTTTGGGAAGAATGGTTTTTAGATAAGGCTGTTGTATAATAAAAATTTACAATATAAGATTTTTCTTTTGAAAACGTAAGTTCACTTCAGGTCAGAGCCTACACATACAAAAATAATTAATGCTTCCTCCTCACTTGGCTGAGTCTATAGGCATAGGGCAGAGAGAGAAATCTCTGTGCCACTTTCAGTAAATGAATTGAAAAGCAAGTTCATGAGCATGTACCCTTAGACGCCATGATAATTTGATGCTTCCATGAAAAGGACAAGTAGCGTATTGTTGGCATTTGATCTTGTCACGTGTGATCAAGTTGGTTGTGATTGTCAGTGACCGTCTGGATAGCATCATGAAACACTGCCTGGTCCTGGGCCATCCTCAGAATCACTGCCATATGTGAGCACGTTGTTGCAGCCTCTGTGTCAATATAGTTGTGTACCTACCTCTTTTTCCTGACTCTTTACTATGCATAATATCCTTCTCCAGGGAATGGTCTCAGCTGATAACATGTACAAAGTATATACTCTTGCCATCCTCCCTTTTAAAGAACATTTTGACAGTAGTTCTTGAAAATCTATTTCTTCATTCTTCTGGTAGTTCATCAACAACCTACATTGTGCAGATGATAGAGCCTTGCTTGCTGAAACTGAGGAGGACCTCAAGCACTTGCTTCAGAAGGTCAAGGACTGTAGTCTTCCATATGAATTGAAGCTCAACATCAGGAAGACAAAAGATTCTCACCACTGGACTAACTGAGGTTGTTAACAGTTACAGTTTGCTTCACCCCACAATCAACACTCTTGGCACCAGCAGTCAGGAAATCAAAAGAGGAATTACATTAGGTAAATCTGCTGTCAGGGACCTTTCCAGAGTACTGAGAAGCAATGATGTCAGTCTAGAGACTAAGGTGCACCGGATCCAGGCCATGATCTTTGCGATTACTTGCTATGTACCAGAGAGCTGGATAATGACTAAAGATGAGAAGAATTGATGCCTTTGAGTTATTATGCTGGAGAAGAGTCTTGAACATACTATGGATTGCCAAGAAAACAAATAGGTGTGTCTTGGAGAGGGTGAAACCAAGTTTCTCCTTGGAGGCTAGGATTTTGAAGCTCTGTCTTATGTACTTTGGACACATGGCCAGGAGGGACCAATCCTTGGAGAAGATCCTGGATCAGATTGACACAGTGACTGGGGACAATGAGGGTGGTTGTGTTGGAGTCAGTGAGATTAGCTCAGGACAGGGCAGAATTCAGAGCTACTGTACATAGTGTCACTATCAGTTGCAGGTGACTCAATGGCACCTAACAGCTACACCACCACCATAATTCAAATGCCTCAGTTCTTTGGACTTCACATGTCTTGTCTTTTCCTTATTTTTCATTTCTCTCCTCCATAAACATAAACAAATTATTCAGAGAGCTATTACTTATTTTCTTAAATTTAATTCTTATTGTTACCTTTGAACCTTCTCCAATCAGACTTGTCTCTCCATTACAGTTGATTTTGTTAAGGTTGTCTGTATGGTACTAAGTCCACTGGTCAGTTCTCAGTCCTCATGTTACTTTCCTGTCAGCAGCATTTGCCATGGCTCATCACTTTCACCTCAGTGATATGCTTGTTTTGCTTGGTTCAATGACATCTGACCTGCTTGATTTTCTTCCACTTCTCTGGTTGTTTATGTCTCAGGCTCCTTTGCCAGTTTCCTTCTCATGCTTCCTGATATTGGAGTTCTCTGAGACTCAGCCCTTAGCTATCCGCCGTAGACTTGCACTTCTATGATTTCATCCAGCATCAAGACTTGATAACTTCCAGTAAATTGTCAGGATAGCTGTCTTCCATATTTGTTGTCAGAGCCTGATGAGTACAGAAAGATACATTATTTGCTTTCATTCCCAAGAAGGATGACCCAGCAGACCATGGAAATTATCGACTATGGATGACAGAAGAAGAATTGATGCCTTTGAGTTGTGGTACTGGAGAAGAGTATTGAACATGCCATGACTGCCAAGAAAACAAATAGGTCTGTCTTGAAGAGGGTGAAACCAGTTGTCTCCTTGGAGGCTAGGATTTTGAAGCTCCATCTCACATACTTTCGGCACATGGCTGGGAGGGACCCGTCCTTGGAGAAGGATATGATGCTCAGAATGGTGGAGGGACAGTGTAGGAGAGGAAGACCCTAGAGGAGATTGACACAGAAACTGGGGTAATGGGGTTAAGTGTGTTGAAGTCAGTGAGACTGACTCAGGAAAGGGCAGGCTTCAAAGCTATTGAACATAAGGTTACTGTAAACCCTAGAAGTGCTCACCAAGGTATGTCAAACAGTTTGGAGGATAGCTACTTGGCTATCCAACTGGAAGACATCTATGTTTTCATTCCCGAGAAAAGTGATTGAACAGAATGTGGAAATATCAATAGTATCACATGCAGATAAAATCTTGCTGAAGATTATTAAAATATGACTAGAACAGTAGATCAGCAGAGAACTACCAGAAATTCAGGCTGGCTTTAGAAGAAGCCTTGGCACGAGGGATACTATTATGTCAGACAGATTTTGAATAAAAGCAGAGAGTACAAGAATGATGGCTGTGTTTTGTGTTTTTTTTTTTTTTCTTTACTAAGCAAAGGAATTTACCTGTGTGGGTTATAATAAATTATGGCTAACATTGAGGAGAATGGGAATACCAGAACACTTATTTATGTTCAGGCAAAATCTATATCTAGACCAAGAAGCTGTTCTTTGAAAAGAGCAAAGTAACACTAAATGATTTAAAATCAAGAAAGGTGTGCATCGGGGCTGCGTTTCTTCTCCATACCTATTCATTCTGCAGAACAAATTATCTCAGTAGCTGAACTGTATAGGAAAAATGTGGCATCAGTATTGGTGAAAGACTCATCAGCAACTTGCATTATGTATATGATACACTTTGCTTGCTGAAAGTGAGGTCAACTTGAAACACTTGCTGCAGAAGATCCAAGACTACACCCTTCTATTTGGTTTATTTGTCAACACCAGGAAGACAAAAAATCCTCGCCACTAGACCAATAGGAAACATCTAGAGAGATACAGAAGAGGTAGAATTCATCACTGACTTAATCTTGCTTGAATCTACAATGAACATTCTTGGCATCCACAGTTAGGAAATCACAAAGCATATTGCAATGGGAAAGTCTGCTGTTAGGGACCTCTACAAAGTGCTGAAGAACAGTGAGGTCAGTTTAAAGACTAAGGTACACCTAATCTAAATCATGGCCTTTGTTTACTTGGTTTTTTTTTTAAAGTTTTATTGTAATTTTAATGAAAGTTTTTAGGAAGATTGTTTTTAATTCATTTATTGTTGCACATTTTTTTCTCCCTCTGCCTCTTTTCTCCCTCCCTTCTCCTTCCTCCAGTCCACTTTGCAATGAATGCACCTCTTGTTCCAAATTGTTGTCATACATGTAATGCCTAATCATACGTTCCTTTCAGACAGTTGTTTCCCTCATCTCTTCCAGTGAATCATGGTCTTTTATATTATTTGCTAAACATAGACTTGGTGACAGAAATGAGGCTATAGATAATAGAATTTTCTATCATCAATGATTTATTCATTGTGGATACCTTTTATAAGAAACATAAAATGACGATTATACACATGGACCTCACCTTATAGCCTATACAGGAATCAGACTGATTATATATATGGAAAGAATCACTGGAGAAGCTTAGTATCAGCTGTGAAAACTAGATCAGGTGCTCATTACATCAATTGATTACATCAGTTCAAGTTGAAGCTAAAGAAAAGTAAGCAAAGCCACAAGAACCCAAATAGGATCTTGAGTCTTTCCCACTTGCATTTATAAAATATCTTAGTAACAGGTTTGAGGTCTTGAACACTAATGAATGAAGAAGACCAGACGAGCTGTGGAAGGACTGCAGCCTTCAATATGGACTGAGGCTCAATGTCAAGAAGACAAAAATTCTCACCACTGGACCAATCGGTAGCATCAGGATGGATGGTGAAGAGATTGAGATTGTTCACAGCTTCAGTTTGCTCGGCTCCACGGTCAACACTCTTGGCATCAGTAGCCAGGAAATCAAAAAACGTATTGCGATGGGAAAGTCTGCTGTCAGGGACCTCTCTAAAGTACTCAAGAGCAATGGTGTCTCTCTGGAGACTAAGGTCTGCCTGATACAGGCCATGGTTTTTGCAATCACTTGTTATGCATCAGAGAGTTGGACAATGACTAGGGAGGCTAGAAGGAGAATTGACACCTTTGAGCTGTGGTGCTGGAGAAGAGTATTGAATGTACCATGGAATGCCAAGAAAACAAACAGATTCATCGTAGAGCGAATTAAACCAGGCTGCTCCTTGGAGGCAA